CGCGCGTCATGGCCAATCACACCCGCGAAGGGGCGGGCTCACTTGCGGGGTTCTGCACCACCAGCCTCCGTTGTGAGACGGGCCATCTGGCCCCCTCCGCACTAGTGGAGGGTGTCGTACAAGAGGAGGAAAGGGGGGTGGCCAGGTGTGCTGGAGGGTGCAGTCCCGGCTGCCCGGGAACCATAGAAGCCTACAGCTGGAAGGGAACCGCGGGGTCCCAGCCATTCTCAGCGGGGGCCCTGGCACATCTGAAGAGGGCCATGGACACACCGCTTGGGACGGCTGGTGATGCGACTTGCGCAATTCTGACTGGGCCAGACGGCGGTGATGGCCCCGGTCAGAGAAAGGTTGAGGGTGGCTGGTTCGTCGAACCGCCCAAGGGAGGCGGAAGGCTGTTCTTTGCTCCAAAGCTCCAGGGGAGAAATGGCTCCTTTGCCCATCTTGCATCGTAATTCGTTAGGCACCTTAGGCAACCGATGGCCCCCACATAGTTAATACAAGCTGCAAGATTGGTTAAACCAAGTGGTAAGAATCAGCTCTGTCGTTTTTTGAAAGACTAGATCTGCGTTCAGAAACACATTTATCCCCATAATAGATAGTGTGCAAATTAGAGAAGGTATAGAAAAAAATAAATAAAAGGCCAGCAAAAAAGGCAGGAACTGAAATCACCAGCCAATAGCTCATAAAATCCAAAATAGACAATGGAGATGGAAGGTTTATCAGTTTTATAAATTAGAGTATTTTGGATTATAAAGGTCTTGGTTTATTTGCTTTACCACCCTTAAGACATCCATATCATGCACAGGGAGCCTGAGGACTGGTTCTTGGCACCCCCTCTTGAAAAGGGTCTGTGGTGAATGGAAGCATCTGGAAAGCTTCAGGGGGATGACAGTGAATTGCTCGTGGCCAGACCAGGAATCAGGCTGCTTCTCAAGAGCCAGACAACACAGGAGGAAAACATTGAAGATGGACATGTGCAATCTATGGCCCCTTGGCAGTTTTGGATTTGCATTCCCAGAAATGTTCCCCCCCCCCAAAAAAAAAACTGTCTGGAGAAGAATACAGATGCTTGGTCAAATTTGTGGGGATTTCTCTGCAAGGGGAGGAAACCTTTTTCTGTAAAGAGACAATTCTAGGAATAGGTGAAGGCAGCAGGAAAAGAGGAAGATCAAATATGAGGCGGATGGATTCCATGAAGGAAGCCATAGGCTTGCGTTTACAAGAGCTGAGCTGGGCTGTTGAGGACTGGACAGTTTGGAAATCGCTCGTTCGTGGGGTTGCCATAAGTCAGAAGTGACTTGACAGTACATCACAAAAAGAGCAAGGAGGAGCAGCTTTCCTGTGCCATGAGCAGGGAGAACCAAAAGCCCAGATTCTCCAATGTGCAGGCGGCCGAGCCTGTGGGCACTTCGGCAGGAGTGTCCCCTCAGGCCACCACCAGATGGCACCACTGCAGCACAGTTGACCTGCTGCTCGCCTGCCCTTCCATCTGTCTGTCTGTCTGTCTGTCTGTCTGTCTGTCTGTCTGTCCCCCCCCCCCAGTTTGGAATGCCTTAATCCCAGTTCTGTGTGGGCTGAGGGGTTTCTGCCAATGGCATGGATGAAGGCATGTAGGGAGGCCTGGTGTCCTTTTCTAAAGAAAACCTCTCTCCTGTGCAAGGCAAGGCGTACCATCTGGCTGTCCGTGAAATCCCTCTGCAGAGAGGGTGTGTGTGTGTGTGGGGGGGGGGGTGTAGGGACCTCTTGAGTTCTCTCCTCCTCCTCCTCCTCGCCGTCACAGCTGGAGCCCCCATCCGAGTCCTGGTAGATGCCAAGGGTCGCCTGCACTAGGAAGCTCTCCAGCCGTTTCTCCCCCTCCACAGACAGAGAGTCGAAGGATTGACATCGGGGCCAGCAGAGCCTGTGCAGAGAAGGGGCAAGTAGAGCAGAACAGGATCTGGGGAGGGGGGTCAGCTAGGTCTCACTGACCATTTCCAAGGAGGGGGGTAGGTGGGAAGAAAATCGGGGAGGGCTGGGGAGAGCTGTGGGCGGAATGTGGTGAGCAGGAACGTGGGTGGGGGGGAGCCCAGGGCAGAGCTGAACCCTTGAAGTCCTTCTGGGCTTAGTTCAAGAAGTCCATGCAAGAAGGGAGAAGCCCCCCTCCTCTTCCCCATCTGGCCCCATAAGGAGGCTCCTAGGGGTGCATGCACACACCTGACTGGGTGCCAGAAGGAGAACAGCGGTGGGGCCGTGAGTGCTTTGCTTGTCCTGCCGCCCCTCCGGTCACAGGCCTGTGGGAGAGAAGGAAGAGGCGGTTGGCTGCACACGCCGTTTCCATCCACCCTCAAGAAAGGCACAGGGAGAGGCCAGCCCCCCCCCCCCGGTGGAGCTGTGGTGTGCCAAGCCTGAGGCTAAGAGGAGCCACTTCCTTGCAACTGGGTGGGAGGAGAATCTGTCTTCAGGCCTGGAGCCAGGCCAGTCAGCTGCCCTTCTGGCCACACAACCCAGCCCTGCCCAGCCATCCCAAAGGAAGAGACCCTGGAATGGTACATTTGTTTTACTTGCAGGCTGCCTTTCTCCCAACTGTCCCAAGTGGCAGCTCTTCCCCACTGCCCCAGAAATCCAGAACAGAGGCCGAGGGTTTAAGGCGGCTGCCACAGTCAGAGAGGAAACATACAGAGATACGATTGAATACCCAGGAGGCCTGGCCAGGCAAGAGGGAAGCCAAACATCCACCGATGACCACGGAAAGCTGCTGGTCCCAGCCTGGTTCAAGGCCTTCATCAATTACCTTTCTTGCCGACTGAGATGAATTGTGCCAGAGGAAAAGTGAACGTCTTGGGGGGGGGGGTACCTGAGTCTTCTCCAAGGCAGCCACTTGCACTCACCAGAAGGGGAGGTACAAAAGGGCATTGCGTTTGCATGCATCCGCATCTGCTCGTTTGCATGTACAGATGCCAAAGGAGAAAAGGAAGGCATCTGGTCTTCCAGATGAAGGATTGTCCACCCCAGACTCTGGTGGAAGGAGGTGGTCATTCTGCCCCTGGTGCTGCATTCACTGAGAAGATCAGCTTCCAGACCTGACCTCTAGCCAGCCAGCCAACCCCCCTGCCTCCAACGCACCTGCGTGCTTGCACATGTGCGAGCACACACACACACACACACACACATGCGTGCTTGCACATGTGCGAGCACGCACACACACACACACACACACACACCTTCACCTTCCTTGCACCAAATCCCTCTAGCTAACCCCTTGAGGAATGCCACCAGCCCACTCCAGAACAGCCCCCCCCTTTCAGCCTGTCTGCCTGGCACTGCTGCCAGCGAGTCCTCCAGAAAAGGAGAAAAGCTTTGTGTTTCCCACCCCCCTCAATCCCCCAGGCATGCAGATTCCTTCCAGGGAGCTCCGGAGAGGCACTGCAGGGGGAGGGCAACAAAACATCAGCTCCCTGTTTTCACCCAAAGGCTGGACCAGGTTTGTTGGTGTACTAGCCATCCTGATGTCCTGGAAGAAAGGAGCAGACCTTGGACCAGGGCCCCGCTCCCTCCCCCCCACAAGCACACCGGGGGGGGGCTTTCTTCAGCCATCTCATGATTCCAGGTGGAGTCCTTTGGGGACACCACACACCCTCTAAACACACACACACACACTCCTGCTGCTGTTGCTCTGGGAAGTGGGGAGAAGAAGCACTTAACGGGGATCCTTGGAGTCCATGATGGGGGCTCCTGGGGGTCAGGCCACTGGGGCCTCCACGGCACGGCTGGCCTGGGTGGGACTGAGAGGAGGAGAGGCCTCTCCCTGGCTCCCGCTCCCTGAACTGCCAAGACCCCGGGACCCTCCTGGAACACAGCCCCTACCCCAGACCCCAGACTCCAGCCCCAGCCCCAAGGGTCCCATCTTGACCCAGCCTCCCACCCCACACCAGAGGTGCATCTGAGAGGCTGTCCCCAGACAACTAGGCCTGCTGGGGGGGGGGCTGGTCACACAGGTGCCAGCTGCTCAAAGCTCTTTGAAGGAAAAGAGGGGTAACCCAGGATTTGCACTGAAAGGAAGATGGTTTCCCTGATACAAAACACAAAGCATTTAGGAAATGGTTAGGAAATCGTTAATTTTCTTGCCGTGACATTTGCTTGAGTTTTTTTCTTTGCCTTTGTCACTTGGTTGTTCTGTATTTAATACTTGGATTTAAAAAACAAAACAAAACAGAGGAGTGTAAATCAATGAAATATACAATTAACCAGGCAAAGACTCTGGGATTTAGGCTGGATGTGTTTCCCCTCAGGTGGGCCAGGCTGTGGCATTCACATAGAGGTCTCTGAGCAGAGGCTGGGAGCAGGCAATGCCTTTGACTCCCCCCCCCCACCTCACCCCGGCCACTTCCCCATATCCTGGCTTAATCTTGCTTGAGGTCTTGGTCACTTGCACCTGTGGACCCCTCTTTCAGTCTGTGAAAAGCAAAAGGCCCCCTTACCTCCTTTCTTGCCATGACTCCTGGCCATGGGCGGGGGGCTGGCCGCTAAGAGCTGAGAGGCAAAGGGTGGCAAAGACGGGCACTTTCCGTGGCAGAACCCCTTTAGCTCATGCCTCCCCCCCATCTCTCTCTCCAGAAGCCTCTAGGGGCCATGCAGGAGCCTGGGGAGGGGTGGGGGGCAAAAGAGGAATCCCTCACCCCACCCCCACCCCAACCCTGGCTGTGAAATCAGCCCCCGTTGAATCAACAGTGGACCCACGAGAGGTTGCAAATGTTCTCCCAGCTGCAGTGGCAAAACAAAACCAACATGGAAAAGGCCAGCACCCTTTGTGAGGAACACCTGGGGGGGGGGGAACGACAGGAAGGCGTCACTGTGAATAAAATGGGTTCAAATTAGTTCTATGAAATCTCGTGGAACATCATCGCCTCTGGTCCCCGTGGCCAGAGGGAGTGAAGCCCCTCCGGGTTGTGGCCGAGACAACAGGAAGGGCAGGAAGCCCCTTTGGGGGCAAGGGAAGGAGACCCTGGTGAGCTGGTGGACAGTTCGACGAAAGGGCCCACCCCGTGTACAGCGGCTGTGAAGACGGCCCATGCCGTGCGAGGGATCATTACAAAGGGGACTGAAAGTAAAACAGCCAACCTTCTCAGGCCTTTGTACAAAATGCTGGCAAGGCCACACCTGAAGTACTGTGTATGATTCTGGTTGCTGCATCTCAGAAACGACATGGTGGAACTGGAAAAGGTGCAGAAGAGAGCGACTCAAAGGATGACAGGGCTGGGGCACCTCCCTGATGAGGAAAGGCTAAAGCGCTGGGGGCTCTTGAGTCTAGAGGTCTAGAGAAAAGGCACCTGGTGGGGGGGGCATGATGGAGATGTAGGAAATTATGCAGGGAAGACCTTCCCATAACCAAACTTCCTTGCCTTTGGGGTGGCTCGGCAGGGGTGGGGACACACTCACCTCCCCAGGTCAGAGGCAACCTCTCCAGGGCAGAGGGCAGCTTCCTCCTCCTCCTCCTCCTCCTCTTCCATCCAGGCAGAACTCAGGGTGGCTCCAGATGCTTCCTGGGGGGGGGGCAGGCAAGAGGGAGGCCTTGTGGCTCCCTGATCTTTTCTAGCCCTTAAAGGGCTTAATTGTGAGCAGGACTAAGCCTCTGCCCCAAGCCATGATTTGCAGATGGATTTGGCAAGCCTGCAGTGAAAAATCAGGCAGCCCTTCACCCTCGCCGCCTGCGCAGGAGCCGGGCCCTCCCCCAGCTCCTCCACCGCAGCGCAGGGATGCCTGACACACACCTCCCGAGGCACTCAGAGGCTGCAGCCGGGGGCTCTCCTGGTAAGTGTCCCCAAATGGCCCCAGGGGTCTCCTGACCCCCACCCCAACTCACCTGGACCCCAGCTCCACCGCAAGTCCTGAACTGAACCCTGGCCGGCCACCCCTGACCTGGTTCTGCGTCTTTGTTGGCCTCTTGGATGAGGCTTCTCAGAGGGTGTGGGAAGACGATGGGCCGGGAATAGCTCTTCTTCCTCCCACTCAGCATCTGGGCCTCCCCTCAGCATCCAAGCATTGGCCGGGGGTGGTGGCAGCGGGCAGACAACCTGTTCCCTGGCTGACTGGCCGGCCAGCCGTGAGAAGGGGCCTAGCCCTAAGTGAGGGGGGGGGTTCAGCTCCTGCGTTGTTTGGATTCAAAGGGCCAAGAAGAAGAGTCATCTCACAAGGGACTGGACCGAGCCTTTATCCCTGAAGGGGTGTCCAGAACAGAGGCTGAGGGGGGGGGGAGAGGCTGGGCTTTTGCCTCTTAAGTCCTTCTCACTCACTCTGACAAAGTGAGTGGCTGCCCAGGACGGATCCAGGGTCTGGGAACCCACATGTTCCCAGGGAAGTCTGTCTCAGGCTAGCCCTGGAGCAGCCCCTGCTTTGGCTTTCCTGGAGGCACCTGGGCAGCCCCTGGGCTACAAAGAAGCCGGTGGCCACAGGGAACGGGGCGTCCCTCTGCAGGGTCAGCGTGCAGGCTCTTGGGAAGGAGGCAGGCAGGCAGGGAGGGAAGGAGGGAGGGGGGGAGAAGGGGCCCCAGCAAGAGAGGTGGAGGGCAGGATGGCCAAGGCAGGGAAGCAATGGGGGACAGGGGCGGGGGGAGAGAGAAGAGAAACTGGGGGGAAGGGGCCACCTTCCCACTGCAGGCTGAGGCCCAGCCCACCGACCCTCCCAGGGTGCTGTTTGAGGGGGGGGGCTTTGGCCTCTGCTCCTTTCTCCATCCCTTAAGCGATGGAAGGGAGAGGCCAAGAGTACTGCACCTTGGAAGGATGAGAGGCAGAGAAGAACAAAGGGGGCAAGTCAGGAAAAGGCCCCGATTCAGATGCCAGCCATGGTGCTCACGAGGAGCAGCCTGCCTTCAGGAGGTGCAGGAAGTGTCACCGGGGAAGGAGGCAGCACAGTTGATCCCCTTGACTGAGCTCTCTGCCCCAAAGGGGTGAAGGGAGGCGGTGCTGACTGGGAAGCCCCTTCAAGAACGGGCAGCAGGCGGGCATGGTCACAGGCATCTGAGCAGCAGGCAGGAGAAAGCCTGGGCTGAGGCGGCCGCCGCTGGCTGGCAGAACAGCACCTGCTCTCCAGGGGCACGTCTGTGGGGCCAGTTGTGGGGCTGCGTGTCCAAGACGGGCCAAGAGGAACCCTGGCCTCAGCCCTCAGAGAGCATCCTTGCCCACTGTGCCCACCGCAGCCTCAGGTGGCAGAAGGCTGCTTGCCATGTTGGTGAGCTGGGGGGGAGGGGAGGGGGGAGACCACCTTGAGGCTCTTGCTCTGACTGTCAGCTAGGGAGCGGCCGTCTGAGTCTGTCTGAAGCACCGGCCAGACTCTTTTGAAAAACCCACCACGACTTTGGAGAGGATTTTGCTTTTTAAAGTCAATGTTTATAGAGATCATGTCAGGCAGCGAAAGTGTTATACACCTCCGAGCCCCTGTGGCTGCTGTTAGAGATGGGCATGAAGTAAAAAATGAATCACCAAGTCTGTTCATTCAAAAATCCCTAATTTGTTGATTTGTTCATTTGTATGAATTAAGGCCCCTGACGAATATGAATCAACAAAGTTTTAGTGATTTTTCATTAGCTGGACTATAAAACAACTCCCCAGGCATCTAGGGAAAATCATATAGAATCTTCTACTGAGTCTCCTCTACAATCTTTCCAAGTTTGATGAAGTTGAGCTTCCCTAAACTAGCCACTCAAGGGTACTTTCCTGGGGGGGGCACTTTGTCGATGTATATTTTGGAGGTCTGAAACCCGGTCTTCACTAAATGTGAAGGGATTGTAGAGGAGAATCAGTAGAAGTTTCTGTGATTTTAGTGGAGGGAACTTTCGTGGGGTGGGGTGGGGTGGGGGGTTGTAGGTGTATAACAGACATCCAAAACTAAAACGTCACCAAAGTTGCAGGGCTTGTAGAAAAGAGTCAGAGGAAGCTTCCCTGCAAATTTGATGTCTCCAGGTGCTTAGGAAGCAGATCTATAGGGTTTAAAATTTAAAAAAACATAAATTCGTAATTAATGATTTGTCAACCTTGACAAATTATGAATCAAAACGAATCACCATTTCCCCGATTTGTGACCATCTCTAGCTGCTGATATATATCCAGCCTCCTCCCCCCAAAAAAACCCCACAAATGCCTTCACAGAGGGAGCTCCCTGCTCCTCCTCCGTTGCCAGCTTTTGCCAGCGGCCGACCCAGCCACCCGGGGGTCCAGGGGATCAGCCCTCACTTCCTGCCCCACCGCATCCTGTGCCCTTTCATTGTTGAAAAAAGAGCTGTGTGCTGTGGGTGGTTTTTTACCCCTTTGCCCCAGTTATTATTCCTGGTGGTTTTTCTGACTTTTAGAAATATATTTTCTACAGATAACGGGGGGCAAAAGGGCGGCTAGCATTTTTCAGAAGCCATTGGTCAATAATTAATCCAGTATGGCTGGATTAATCCTGTCTCCTAGATAACCTTCTTTCCCCCCCCAACCCACACAGAGCCTGGCGCAGAAAGGACCCAGGCGTGTGTGCGCGCGCACAGAGACACACAGGACGAGGACGATAACGGAGGCTGCTGCAGCTAAGAAGAGCTGGTGCCTCAAAGCCAAGGAATCGGGCCAGCAGAGAGAAAGAGAGAGAGAGAGAGAGAGAGAGAGAGAGAGACTGAGCAGGCAAGGCAGTGGGGCTGTCCAGGTTTGGTGATGGCGTTGGTCGGCCTGCAGCTGGTGGGCTACGTCCTGGGGCTGCTGGGCTTGGTGGGCACCTTGATCGCCACCCTCCTGCCCGGCTGGAGGACCAGCTCCTACATTGGCTCCAGCATCGTCACGGCCGTGGGCTTCTCCAAGGGCCTCTGGATGGAGTGTGCCACCTACAGCACGGGCATGACCCAGTGTGACATCTACAGCTCCCTGCTGAACCTGCCGGCCGACCTCCAGGCAGCCCAGGCCCTGATGTGCTCCTCCGTGGCCGTCTCCTTGCTGGCCTCGGTCGTCTCGGTCGGGGGGATGAGGTGCACCGTCTTCTCCCAGGGCTCTCCGGCCAAGGACAAGGTGGCAGTGGCTGGGGGGGCTGCTTTTGCCCTTGGGGGCCTCCTCTGCTTCATCCCCATTGTCTGGAACATCCACGTGGTGCTGCAGAACTTCTACAACCCTCTCGTCCCGGACAGCATGAAGTTTGAACTCGGGGAGGCCTTGTACCTCGGCATCCTCTCCTCCCTGTTCTCCATCGCTGGGGGTGGCATCCTCTGCTCCTCCTGTCCTCCCCGGGATCGACCGGTGCCCCACTACAGCCCTTACCACTCACAGACGGTGGTGAGCCGGAGCCCCCCAGCGGCGGCAGCCCCTCCGCCCAAGGCGAAGAGCGAGTTCAACTCCTACAACCTGACGGGTTATGTGTGATGGCCGAGGGACTCCGCATGGCCACCTACCGCAGCTTGCGCCTGGGGAGGGGTGGGAGGGGTGGGGGGCCACAGCCCTTTGGGCAGAGGGCTTAATGCACAAGCAAGGGGCGGGCAGGCTCCTCCCTGCTCTGCTGGCGCCTCCATCCTGACGGAAGCTCACATCTGCCCCAGGACTGGCCAAGCGCAGCTTCCAGACCGGTAGATGATGGCAATCTCTCTGCAGACCTCAGGGGTGAAATGGACCTGGAGAAAGCCTGGCCATATCCCGGTGGACTGAGCAAGACATCAGCTGCCACTTGTATCTCCAAGACATCCAGCTACTAGTCCTCACTGTGAAGCCAACTACGACCTGTGTGAAGAACCTGCCAAAGCCCAGCTGACCCCTGCTCCATCTGCCTAGATCTGACCCCCTCCCCGATGGAGTACAATGGCTGAGTAGAGGAAACTGAAAGCGGGGGGGGGACATGGAGAGGGGAAAGGGATTTGGGGGTTACTCCCACTGTCTCTTTGGAAGAAGCTGTAGAAATTTGGCAGGTGGGGATAGCTGGTTTCCTGGCTGCTACTGGCATATCCCGGAGCCCAGGAATAAAGGCTGGCTGGCCCTCGGCAGGGCTGGAGGTGCAACAGGCCTGCTGGGCCTGAGGACGTGAACTGGAGCCGGCCAAGTGGAGTTTGGCCCCTCTTGCTGGGAGGGGGATGCTGAGCAGCCCTTCGCTGAGGTCACCGTGCTGGTTGTGCCGGCCCCACGGGGGCACCAGGCACTTCCAGGGCAGCTTGCTTCAGAGAGGACAGGAAAAGGCACGGTGGGGTGGTGTGGTCAGCTCCCCTTCCCCCCCCCGCCCCTTTGGGTTTGAAGGGCTGCTGCCTGCAGGCGGGGTGGGAACACTCTGGTCTTGGCAGATGATGACAGGGCACCACAATAAACAGCCAGAAAGGACGCCGGCAGCCTGGAGGCTTCTGCTTCTGCGTGTGGGCGAATCATCCTCTCTTCAAGCACTGCCCATCCAACCCACCCCCAGCTTCTTGCTTCAGTGAGGAGGCTTCTGAGGGACCAGGTTTAGCAGGACTGGCTGGGAAGAAGGGAAGGGCGACAGGAGGGCCCCAGTGCCAGGGAGCAAAGGAGGTGTGTGTGTGTGTGTGCGCGCACACACGCACGCGTGTGTGTGCGTGCATTTTGAGGGGGCGAGGAAGATTCCAGAGCGGCACACACAGGAATGCACATTGCACCCCAGCCCTAGCTGAGATACCCGTCCAAACATGCCGGCGCCCCGGTTCTCATGGCCTCAGAGCCCCCCCCCCAGGCAATCAACCAAATATAGGGCCATGGCAGCACCTTTGGTGGGACTTCAGGGCAGATGCCTCCCCCCCCCCGAAGCACCCCCACTCCTGGCACACGCCCTGCATGGGCTGCAAACACTGCACAGACAGAGATCACTCGTAGACCTGAAGTCAAGTTTCCCGATTCCCTCATAAAGTAATTTAGATTAACGGAGGAGAAGAAAGCCGGACTCTTGACATTAACCTTCGCCAACGTCAGACCTGTTTACTCAGCTCTCTCTAGTCCTAGATAAGAGGGGGACTTAGGGCCCCTCCTCTTCCTCCCTCACACTGGGGAAATGGAGGCCAAGGCCCCAGCAGGATTCCCACCCACCCCCAAAGAGAGAGAGAGAGAGAGAGAGAGGAGACCGGCGGCTAAGCCTGGCGGTGGGGAGGGGGGGCACACATGGCTCAGAGAAGAGCCAAAGGGCTCCGGTAGGTGACGCACATATACAGGCAGATCTGCAGGTTCAGTCCAATATAGGGGTGGGGGGGTGGGGACCCCCTGCTGGTGCAGAAGACACCTGGAGGAGGGTGTGTGTGTGTGAAAGGCGTGTGAAATTTAGTCCTCCCAAAGACACAGAAGAGGTGCCCAAGCTGGCCACGGACGTTTGCAAAGATGGGCTGGTAGCCAATGGGTTGCCCCAGTCGAGGCAGGGACACAGCACTCTCTCCCGGCCCTGGAAACCTCTGGAGCTGCAAAGCCACCCAGGGAGCAACTCCAGGAAGCGCCGGCCAAGGACAGCCGGCTGTCTCCTTCCTCTCTCTCTCCTCCCCCCTCCTTCCAGGGGACAAGGAAGGCCAAAGGCACCCTCCTTGCAGTCCAGAGACTCCCCCGTTTCCTCGGCCGCAAGGCTCAGCCTGCCTCTGGCAGCCTCAGGGAAGTTGCCAGAGAGGACAAGCGTGGAGGGTTGGGCTGGGGGTTCTCCACGTAGTCACGGTGTGTGGGGGGGCGTCGCTCACTTCCTTCAGCCGGTTTCCAGTGTGACGGGGAGCCACCCAAGGCCCATCACGCCTTCCTGGCTTCAGCAGGAGGGGCTGCCTCCTGCCCCCTTCAAGCAAACAGGAGGCGGCAGGTGGGGGGGTGATGGTGGCTTAAAGAACCCCTTGCAGGCGATGCCTCCAGAGAGAAGAGTCTGCTCAGAGGTGCCCCTGGGCTCTGGGTGGGTGTCAACGCGTGGCTGCGACATTCATGGCCTGCAACTGCTTCCAGGGATGCGCTGAACTGCTTCCATGATGCAGACTAGGACTGCTGTGGCTGGATCACGACTCCCGAGCAAGACTGTGCCCATCCAGAGCTGTGGCAGGCAGGTTGAGGCGGCGTGGAGAAAGGGAGACCCACCTGCCCACTCTCACCTGACAGAGGCTGACTCCCGGAGGAGGAAGGCTGCTTCTCCTCCCAGAGCAGAGCCAGGTGGTGGGAGAGGAGACCGGCGGAGACTTTTCTCCCTTAACCACCCCCTTTCTCTCCCTCCCTCCCTCCCTCTCTCTGGGCACTTGCCAGTCTTGGGGCCTGGAGTTTTTCTGTTGGGCCAGCAGATGTTGGAGGCAAGACGGAGTCATGCCAGAGGGAAGAGGATGGAGCTGACGGAGCGAGCCAGGCTGCCAGCGATGGAGCGGAAGGGCAGGGAGCAGCCGGGATGGGACCAGGCAACAGCAGGGCCCCTGCAGGCCAAAGAGGGGAAACCCACCTCCCCAGGCAGCCTGGCTTTTGGTTTTCCGAGCATGAGTAAGAACAGGCCCCTCCGGACTTTGTGCTCCCCCACATCCACCCCCACAGCCCCCCCCACCTGCAGCCCCTCTTCTGCCCCCTGCCAAATGGTTCAGTGGCACGGCTGCCCAGCCCGGCCTGATGCCAACAAGGAGACAGTCCTGGCCTGCAGCCGACGCATCCGCAGAGGCAGTCCAGCCACGCTTGACCCTGCTCTGGAGCCCCTGCCTCTGTCCTGGTGCAGGAGACCCTCCTTCTCGGAGGAATCCATGGGCACCACTGGGATGCAGAGCCACTGCTGGCAACTGGGGTCCCCTTCCACTCACTTGTGCCGAGCATCTGGCTGGGGCTTTGGGGAGCCCTGCAGGGCTGAAGGAAGGGGCAGGAGGCACCACAGCCCAGGGTGCAGGCTCTGCTCTTCAGGGGAACAGGCGGCAGCCCCCCCTCCCCCTGGCAGATGTAGGAGGCTGCTGTCCAAGGTACCTTCCTCCACTCGATGGGAAAGGAGCTCCCCCCTGTGGAAAGTGCATGCACTGCAAGCACACACACACACACACACACACAGACACAGAGGCTGTTGTTGGACTGGAGGGTGCTGTAGAGGCACTGCTTGGCCTTTCACTTCTCAGGTCGGGAGGGGTAGTGGTGGGAGCGGCTTTGGCAGTGGGCTCTTTGGCCCTTCCTGCACACAAAACACACCCTGTGCTTCCTGCAGAAGAGCAGCTGCTTTTAGGACAGAGCCAGGGAACGGACCAGAGATGCTCCAGGCAGAACTGCAGCCCTAACCCCCTCAGCCCTGGAGCCACCACAGGGAGGAAGCCCCCCCCTCCAGCACCCCTTGGGCCAATTCTCTAGGAGTTCTCTTTTTTGGGGGGGGAGGGAGGTCTGGCTAGCACTCTGGACGAGCATGACCGCGCAGGGGGCAGAGGGTGATACCAAAGCCCCCCCCTCCTGTGACACTTAGCCTGGCTTTACAGGCCCTGTGGGGTCTTCCTTCTCGGCTGCTACGGCTGCCCCCCAACACAGGAAAAAGCAGTTCCTGTTCTGCCTCTTTCAAGAGCCCCCCCCCACCTCCAGAGACAGGCTGCAAGAGAAAAGGAGCTCCCCTCAGAACCGGCCCTCAAAGCCCCAGCTGACCTCGCGTCCCTCCTCAGAGTTCACAGGAGGAGAGCACCATCACAAGCCACAGCTGTAATTAAACCCAACAGCTTCGCAATCCCTTAATCAGGCGCTCGCCGTTCCCTCTCCCGGACCAAGAGGGAAGTTTAATGGCTGAAGTTAAAAAAGGAAAGTGGAGGCAGTGCTGGCAGGCTCCCGCTTTAATCAGATTTGCTCCCACCCCCTGCTGCTCACTGCCTGCCTCGCCATCCCTCCGGCCCACCCCGGGCCCCAGGCAGCCTCCCTTCAGGGCAGGGGCCCAGGCCTGTGCTGGGGGTGGGGTGGGGGAAAGCCCACGTCGGTCACTCTTTCAAGAACAGTGCCCCCCCCAAACACTAAGGGATGCCCCCTCCAAGAGCCTGGGTTCAGTTCATCTGCAACTGCAACTCGAGGATGGAAACCTTCTTTCCAAGGGGTTCCAGTCGTGAGGGGCAAAGGGCATGGGGGCAATGGCCAGCAAAGCCCCCGCCAGGAGCCAGCAGCCTTCTCCGTCCACGCTCCGGCCAGGCCATTGCAAGCCCCATCCATTCTCTCTCTCACGCGTACGCGCACACGCACGTTCTCTATTCCCCTCTCGCAGAACTGGGAGATGATGTCCCTCTTGGCCCCTCACAGCAGACTGAGAAGAGTAAAACACTGTAAAATGCGTGGAAGGCCACCCGCTCCTCAGGACGCCGGGGGATTCTGAGGACCGGGGGCCGTCTCTGAAGGGGTGCCGGCCGCCTGGGTCTTCTTTCTTCCAAACTCAATGACAAGGGGTCTCCCCAGGAGGCTGAAGCCGTTGGCCAGCTGCAAGGCTGCCTCTGCCGTGGAGGTGCCTGAAAGCAAGCCGAGAGAAGAAGGGCTCAGCATTGGCCATTCAGCTGGGCCGGGAGAGACGTTCAGGGAAAAGGGGCCCCGGGGGCACATTTGGCCCTTCAAACTCTGCACCCCACCCCCACCCCCCACCCCGAAGGCAGGAAGGCCGCGGGCTGCCCTTCTCTGTCTGCGCAGCTGCTCCGACCAGAGACCTCAGAGGCAGAGCACTCACTGGGGAAGGTCACGAAGGCCTGGCCTCTCATGCGCCCACTGAGCAGGCGGAAGCGGATCGGGGGACCGTCTCTCTCCTGGAACCGGGCAAACAAGGACAGGAGGTCCCTGACGGTCACGTGGCGGCTGAGGTTCTTCAAGTAAAGCACCTGGTTTCCCCCACAAGAAGAGGCAAACAGTCACAGGCAGGGCAAGGAGGAAAAGCAGCCTGAGGGCCCGCCTGGCGACGACAGGCAACGTTTCCAGGCACGGGCCACGCTGCTCCCCTCTGCCTCTCTAGTCAGACAGTCCTCCCACCCCCACCCCACCCCACCCCACTGACGGCCACCGGGACCTGGTCCACGGTTTCCCCAAAGGAGCCACTACTCCCTGAGGGAACTACGCAA